CGATCATAAACGAGTTCCAAGACTGTAGTAAATCATTGCCCCGTGATGGACTTTGGCTTCCTCATCTCTAAATTATGGTGTTGGGTGCAGTCTCTAAGCTCCCTTCTATCTCTGATTCCATGAGTCAGTATTTAAGACCTCCCTTCACGTAGCAAAATAAACATATCAACCATGTTTCTGAGACCAGCTTTTTGGTAGGAATAGATCTTCTGGGTTGAATATTAAATGAGGAAGTTGCTTCTACTGCACACCAGCAGCTGAGTGATCCCCTGAACTGTGAGGCTTGCTTCTCAGATTCTTGCTGGTGTTGCTGCTCGATAGTTGTAACGACAGATCTCCGTCTGGGTTATACTTCTGTCATCTCTCATTCAGTTTAAGTCAGCCTTGAGATGTGTTTTCCAGAATACTCACAAGCCAGAGCTCTACTTAAGGAAATGTAGAAGCTGGAATAGAAGAGGTGATGCCCCTGCTCAGCCAGCCAGTGAAGTACCACGTTCCCTTCTGAACAGCAGAGTCTACTCGGGTCCCTGACTGCAAAGCACATCCAGAGAAAAACAGAATAAGGAGGGCACGAGGATGGCTAAAGGAAGTCTAAGTTTTGATCCAAGACAGAGATGTCTTAGAGGGACGTGATATGTGTCTTGAGATAACAGACAGGTAGTCATGACAACGATGGGTCCGACTTGTTGTGGGGGCCACAAAACAGAACTGGCAGTAATGACTCAGGTTGTACAAAAATAGATTTTCCGGCTAATACGAGAAGGGACTTTCTATAGTGGCTAGAATTATCTGAAAATAGAATTAAACTCCTCAGGAAGGCTTCAGGTTCTTCTTAAGAACACCACTTGGGACGGACAGTCGATTGCTAAGAATATTGTAGAAAAGATTTGAGCCTCGGACTTCTCTGTATGAAGATTAAGACTCCTAATATCACTTCTAGGTCTGTGGTCCTACGAGTCCATATGTTCTGGAAAAACAGTCACTCTGTCTAAGTACTAAACCTATTCACATCTCTGAAATGTTACGTGTTTTCTTTAAAGCAGCTCAAAACCTAAAAGCATAAATAACTGTCTTTAAAACACATAAAATTGCCAAGGACCTAGCCTCTCCCAAGAACACAGGGGGAGCCCAAGAAATAAGTGTTGCTCAGGGCCAGCCTTTCAGAGAATTTGTGTTAGAGAGAGTAGTTTCTTCTTAAGTCGTCCCAAACAAAGGAAGGTGGAGGGTGGAGAAAACAAAGCACACTGATTAAGCAACCAGAGAAAATCGAAGGAAGATACACGCAGAAAGGAACTGTGAAATGAGAGAGCCTTTTATGATGGAAAAGCCAATCGAGTAATTTGCTTGCTTACAACACTGGTTGCTTCTCATGTCCCTCAGAATAAAGGTCAAATGCCTTATCATGCCTTCTGCTGCCTGGCTCTTCATGACCTGGTCTCCTATCTCTCCAGCCTCATCTCTCCTGAGGCCCCCTGTGCATGCTGGGCTCTGGCTTACTGACCATTTCTGTTTCTGGAATGTGCCTTGACCTGTCTGGCCTCAGGACTGGGAGCACGTTGGTGCCTCCGCCAGGAACACGCTCCCCCACCCGCTCTCTCTCCACCCAGTACCTGAAACATGCCTCCTTTATGGGGGCAGCTTCAACTGTTCTCAGCAAATGGAATATTTTTATGATGCCCCCACCCGCCGCGGACTGGGCTTGGCGCTTCTGGGGAACAATTACACTTTGGCCACACTCCCGATGAGAGCGGACGAGACATCAGCTCACGCGTCCAGACCAGGTCTGAACAGCCCGTGTCCACCAACTCTTTAACTCATTAAGCAACTTTACAGCCACACACTCAGCAATGGGGAAAAAACTACTGACACACGCACCCACCCTGATGAATCTCAAGTATATTATTTTAAAAGAAAAGAGCTAGACACACACACACACACACACACAAATACAATATTGTACAATTGTGTTTCTATGAAATCCCAATGCAGGCGAAACTAAGGTGATAAAAATCAGTGTTTGAACGGGGTGGAGCTGTTTGGAAGGGGCACGTGAGGGAACTTTCTGGGGGAAAAGAAACTGTCTCTCGTCTTATTTTGGGTTTTGTTTACACGAATGTACGCAATTGTGAAAACACAGCTAATTGGACACAAGAGAAAGAAACAAGATTTAATATTGATTTTCGCTCTTCTTGTGTTTCTCTATGCATTTTCCTCTGGACTAATAATGCATGTGCCCTCAGTGGAGGCTTCTGGAAGTCACCTGTAGCTCTGGCTTTCGCAGGCAGCGTTTCTTGGCAATGTGTACTCCTACACTGCCCCTCTCAGTTGTGACACCCAGTGAGGTTCCAAAGCTGATCTGCGTTGCTACGGACTGAAGTCTGTGTCCCCCCCCCAAAATTCATATGCTGAAACCTACCCCCAAAAGTGATGGCGTTAGGATGTGGGGCCTTGAGAGGTGATCAGGTCATGAGAGTGGAGCCTCCATGAATGGGATTAGTGCCCTTATAACAGAGACCCCAGAGAGCTCCTTGACCCTTCCACCATGTGAGGACACAGTGAGAAGACACTGGCTATGAACCAGGAAGTGGGTCCCCACCAGACACAGAATCTACCAGCACCTCGATCTTGGACTTGTAGCCTCCAGACTGTGAGAAATCAAGGTTGGTTGTTTGACGCACCTGGTCTACAGTACCTGTAATAACCATCTGAGTTGACTAAGACATTCACTGTCTCAAATAACACCTGAGTTGCCTGCTGGTTAATGCAGCCTTGTTTCCACCATAATTTTGGGGGACAGTGAGTTCCAGTGCTGTTTAAGGAAATGATTCCACTTCCTATTTGATTGAATTTGGGAAATAATTTGGGGTGTCATCTCTGAGATGCGTTTGATCCCTTTTGGGTGATCTTTTCTCTGGGCTCTTGGTAAGTGCTCATTCTGTGCGAGGGCACTCGTTCAGCACACGTGACCTGTCCCACCTGGGCTGGATGTAGCTAAATACAAACAGGAAGGAAGAAAGGTAGGTAGAAAAAAGATCAATAGAGACATAGATAGATATAGATATGATAAATACACAGCTACGTGAATACATATATAGATGACAGATAGATATGCTAGATACAGACATACATGCATACATAATAGTGATAGAGAGAGAAGATATATAGGGGCAAAAATTTCAGTTCCTCTTAGCATGTCCTTCTCTCCATTCCTCAGCAAAGCACGTTGACTCATAAGCATCACAGGCCCATGTAAGAATGCTCACTGTTGCACAGTGTCCAAAAGCTCTACAGGAAAACCTTACAGACTAAACAAATACCAATAGTCAGCTTTTGTCCTATGGCCAACACGGAAGCCTCACTATTTTAGCCAAATCAGTGGTAACATTCAAGTGACCCTTTAAAAATCTCCAAAACACACAGAGATTTTTAGAGAGAGACGGTGCCCTGCTACCTTGGTCAGCCCATGGCTGTGCATTTATGATGTGGACATCTCTGCCCCAAAGAATCTCTCGCAATCATCTTTAAAGAAAAGAAAGAAGGAGACAGAAATAAATAACGTGGCATTAATTACCCATCAAGAATTCAAGGGCCCAGCTGTAATGAGGATTTTATATCCTTGCATAAATCTTAAAGTGAATGAGTCAGGGGGCTCAACCCCTAAATGTGGAAGGGATTCAAAAAGAAAACAGCCCCGGGTGAGGTAGACGTTCAGCCACACATTTGTCGCTTGTGAGCAATGGGACTCTAACTCAGGAAGCTTAAGGCAAAAGGTAAAAAGGGGGCCCTTGGCTGCTCACACACATGGGAAATCTTGGGTCTTGGCTAGATCCAGAAAGGGAAACGCTTCTGGCTTCATTCAATCTATGTGTCCTCTTCACGGGGTGTCACACATGACCGCTGGCAAGACTCTACTGTGTTCTTCTCACAGTTAGGAGTTCCAATAAAAATGTGTTCCATGTTCCCAGCAGCTCAGTGTAGCCCCAGGATTGGCCCCTGGGAGCCACCCCATCCGCTCACCCCCGAGTGGGAGACGGGCTTGTCAGGACTGAGACGCGGCCCCCACCTGGAGCTGGAGGTCAGCTTCAGTAAAACCAAAGCAGGGTCTGAGAATGGGGACATTGTCCCCAGAGCAACGGCTGATAAAGGATCAAAACCCACTAGGGAGGCCGGGATGTTGGATCTCCTTTCTCCCTGTATTTACCACGTGAAATGGTTGGCACGTGTTTCGCCAATTTTGATGGAAAACACAGACCCTAAAGCTCAGGATGCATGGCCATGCCTGTGAGGGCTGTCAGTGGAAGAGGTGGAGAATTTAACCTGCCGTATTTTATAAGATATTGAGCCCGGAGGATCCTTTACTGCAAAGCTAATGGCTTTGCTCCTTTTCTGTCTTGGTACCAGTGATGTGGAGGGTCTGGGAAGAGATGCATGAAGGAGGAGGGGACGGGACAATCCCCGTCACCTCCCGGCTCCAAGACAGTCTTCCAGTCAACCTCTGCTTGTGAAAGGGCATCTGACAAAGTGACTTCAGAGCCAGACAGAGGGAGGTCACAAATCTGACTCTGCCACTTAGAAGCCACATGATTTCAGGGAAGCCCCTTATCTCAGTTTCCCCCTTCCCCACCGGCAGGAATGCTTGTGGTGAGCACAGGCTCATGATGCATAGCTGACTAGCACGCCCTTCCATGTCTGTCTTATCCTTACTGTCAGTGACATACTCAAGGCAGTAAGAAATTTGAACTGGCATGTGAGTATATCGAGGGCAAAAACCTCCTGTAAAAGGCTAGCTAATTTTGCTTTAGAATAGTTCATAGGAACTAGCTAATATTTTCCCAGTACCTATCCTATGCCAGTTAATGTTCTAAACACTTTACATATATTAATCTATTTAAACATCGCAGCAACCCAGGAGGTAGATCCTCTTATTATCTCCTTTTGCATCTGTAAAAAACTGAAGCCCAGAGAGGTAGAATAACTTGCCTGAGGTCACACAGCCAGTAGGAAAAGAGCCAGGATTCAAATTCAGGGAGTCAGGACGCACAGTCTAAGCTCCTCAACGTGATTTAAAGCTGCCTTGAGAATGACTGCTTAACTGATTGCAATTGTTTTTATCCTTTTAAAAAGTTGTGACTATATCAAAATTGCTTTTGGCGCTTTATAAATTACAATTAGATTATAGTAAGTATCTGCTTTCCTTGCAGCCATTTGTATTTCTAACTGTCGTGGATGAAGTTCTACTGATTATAAATGCTATCGATGGTTCCAATAAGGTAGTTGAATCTGACCTTCCACAGGACAAAAAGAATCTCTAACCTCCATATTTTTACATGGTCTTTGTGGCGGGAACAAAGCATGTCTCGGGACTACAGAGATACAATTATTACTGAGGAGGTCATCGAGAAAGACTTAGAGGTAAAACAAAAGGGTTTTGGTAAAGCAAATTAAATTGTCTGTCAGTGATGGAATAGGACTAAATTGCCCATTGTCATCTGCTGAGGCAAGCTATACTTCTGGAATAAAAGTTGGAGAAAAGATTGCACCGCACGATATGAGTCATTGCAAGTTGAATGCATGAGACAGAAGCGCCGAGGGCACAGAACTTCGCTGGGGGCTCAGAGAGAAGCCGAGAGTAGATCAAATCCACATCCTAGGGAGAAAGGCCCTGTGATGGAGGAACACGGCCTTGTGAATGATTATTAATATTCCTCATGCCTCGATGAAAATGTTCTTCTTCCTGAAGTGTCAGTTCAACCACATCCGTCATACCAGGAGCATGTGCCGCATCACCGCGTTGTGCTGTGGCTGAGCAGAGCGGTCAGCTGTGGGCGCTTTAGTAGGGGCTGGAGAGGTGACTCCTGGCAGGTGGTTTAAGGCACAGAGGAAGAAATTCATAAGCATATTTGATCACTTCTACTTCGTCTTCTTTTCTAGAAAACTTCATATTGTGGGATAGCATAAACAGTTCATGAGAGGATGGATTTATGGCACACAGGCCTGCAACACGTGCGTATGTATCCACACACACATATGTGGTACATATGTCTGTATATGTGCAATGGATGCAAGGATGTGTTACGAGATTCCCACCCTCTAGACCGCACCCAAGACTTCCTAGGGGACAGTGGTCACCCTTGTCCCTTTCTGAGACTTACCCTATGCTGCAAAGAACCCCCTTGCCCAAGGATTTGTCCTCTGTTTGGGTCAACCTGTATCCAACAGCAGGTCAATGCTTGGATTCAAAGGCCTCGAGTCAGAGCAGCTCTGAAGGGGTCTCAGTTTGTGTTCCCATGGGACCAGCGGGCACTTGGTCCTGCCCATCTTCCTTCCCGTCCTGAGCCCCCACAGGCTTTGCTCTTGAAGGCACTGGGGCTGGGGAATTGCATGCAAACCTTCGTCTCTCAAGGTCTGTTTCCTAGGGAACACAAGAATTTTTAAAATTTTCTTGGAGTGAAAATTAAGCAATTTCCGCTAATATTTGTACTGTTTTGTATCTTAAGACAGCTTCACAAAGACATGTTGTCTACTATGATCTGCCATCATCTTAGATTTAAATTACGGAATTAATGAGACAACTGAATTATTATTCTGTGATGTTCTTAAAGTGGAAGAGCCCTCTAAATTTTGGAATGGATACGAATGAGAGTAAGTGGATAAGAAATTCATCAGAAAAACCAGACGCAGAGTAAGGCTAACATCCCGGAGGCCCTTTAGAAAGAGAGGAGGGAGGAAGGGAGGTGAGAGAGGATGAACCTGAATAAATTTGATGATTCTTTTCTGATATAGAGAGGTTTATGGGTATATATATATATATTGGATGATGTGGGTATATTCCTATGATTTTAGAAGGTGGGGCAGTTTGCTTTGTTGTTTCCAGTCCTTTTTTAGCCACACACATTTGCGGTCTATTCTGGTTAGTCGGGATGCCTGTGTTCCCATTGCTTCTGATTCTCTTGGTTGGTCATGGTGGAGGTTGGCCTTGTTGGGAAGAAAACTGTTCCAAATATGGTGAACAACTGTAAAGTTTGATCTTAACGTTTCAAAATAGAAAATATAAAAATTAAGAGCTCCAAAAGTGATGTCTTTACAGGCAGGTTTCTATTGCTAGTTCTACAAAAGGCCAAGGATTTGTGTTGTAGTATTTTAAACATCGTGAATAGACTGCCCTAGGCCATATGTCGTGTTCCATGGGAGGCATGATAAAAGATCATACACGAGCTCTTAGAAATTCTGACATCACAATAGTAAAACCTTCTCACCAGTGGAGTTTCCCCATTTTGTCACTCTCCTGTACTTCGAAGAGTAGGGAAGACTGTGAATGAGTGGCTAATATTCCATTGAAACACTCCATCAGGGCACAGAAGATAAAGTAATTCAAAGGAGCTTAAAGTTACCTTGTCGTTTATTAAATGCACACACACACACACACACACAGTAAACATGGAAAGGCTCTCTAGAGAGAAATGTGAGAAAAGAAATTTATGCCTCTGAAATTTCTTAAAAGAATGCTTTTATATTGTTAAGTTTCCACGAAGACCTTAAGAATTCCCAAAGCTGACGACTCGAATACCTTACTGCACTGCTTTACGAACAGAATAACATTAGACATACAATGTGGATGCCTTAAGTAACCCTTCCAATCCTGTGTTGTCTTTTGACATGTAGATGAACAGGGCAGTGGAATACTTGATCACTGACTTCCCACCGGTGAGTAAAGCACAGAGAAAAATAAGAGTGTTGTAAGAGGTCAGGGCACCCCTCCCATCCACTCTGGGACGGGCAATGGGGACGGTTAGTCACATGACCACCACACAGCGTCAGGAGTTGCTTAGACGCATCACTTCTTACTGTCTTGCTCTAGAGTTCTGCTAAAGCCTTGGTGGAGACGGTCTTATTTACTGTGACTGTGGACCATGTTGATGCTTAAGAATTTCATTAACTCTGCCTTTGACTGTTGAGAAGGGTCATGGGACAGAGCCCGAGTGACGCAGGTGGAAAGGGCCCTGGGCTGTCTTCAGAAGCATCTGCAAGTCCTTGCGGTGTCTGCACTGGGAACACCGAGGTGTTTCACTGGAGGAACACCACCTGGATCACTCTGCATGACCACTGGGTCAGGAATGCTATTTGTCCACACTTCAATTGCCTGTGTCCAAATCCGTTTTACATCAAGAGTGGATAAATTGAAGGAAGAAAATCTTTTTTAAACCAACCCAACTAGATGAAAAACAGAACGTATTCTCCAAGGAGAGGCATAATTACCCCCATTTTAAAAGGACTTCAAGACATCCATCCATTCATTCATTCATTCAGCGGTGCTCTGATTCCTGCTTTGTACCAGATGTTTTCTGAGCAAGGAGCATCCAACAATGAACACAGGTCCTTCCTAGGAGAACTCAGGGCCTACAGGCACATCCTAGGTCACAGAGTCAGGCCCACCAGGAACAGGGAGCAGACGTGCAATGCCTAGTGTCCCCCTATAGCACAATGTCTCCCACACTAAGTAATGCGCCATGGGTACCAGTCACAGCTAACGTCTACTAAGAGGTTCACATGGGCCTGGCATGCTTTTGAGCACTTATGACTATTGATCCACTGGTTCCTCACAAGAATCCTAGAAAGTAGAGGCTATTACTGTCTTCATTTGACAGAGGAAGAAACTGAGACACAGGGAGGTTAAGTAACGCTAAAAACCACACAGGTCAAAGGTAGCAGGGCCAGTATTTGAATCAAGGCAGTCAGGCTGGACACTGCAAGGCAACGCTGCTCATACTGCTATGAGGATGCCCTGAGGAGGTTTTCTGTACCACCCCAGATCTCAAGGCTGTGGAGATAACTATGATATACTTCCTGCCTTCAAACTCCTCACAGTGTAGACTAGCTGTGTTATTCAGTGCTCTCCCAGGACATAGAACCAGAAGGATGTAGAATATACGTATGTGTAGAGAGAGAAATTGATTTATTATAAGGAATTGGCTCAGGTCATTATGGAGGCCAAGAAGCCCTAGGAGCTGCAGTTCATAAGCTGGAGACCCAGGAAAGCTGAGGTTTCTGTCCTTCTTCCTCGTAGGAGGTCAGCGTTTTTGTTCTGTTCAGGCCTTCAGCCGATTGGATGAGGCCCACCCACACTGGGAAGGGTGATCTGCTTCACTCAGTCTACTGACTCAGATGTTAATGTCATCCAAAACACCCTCACAGACACGCCTAGACTCAGGTTTGACCAAATATCTTTGCATCCCACAGTCCAGTCAAGTTGACACATAAAATTAACCAACACATTGGGCTACCAAGCCCGCAAATGCTGGGCAGCCTAAGTGGAGGGCACGAACTTCACCACTATGTCACCGGGCTGGCCCCAGTATTCTGGATGTTTTTAATACTTAGAGCCACTAGGCAGGAGAGGATGAGAGGAATCACAGGAAGGAGGTGTTGTCATTTCCTGAGATGGAGAAGACTGTGGAAGGAGAGATTTGGGGAAAATTGGGAATTTATCTTTGGACACTATATGTTTGAGGTATCTGTTAGATAACCGACGGCAACACCAAGGAGACAGTGAGGGGTGAAAGTCTGGGGCTGAAGGAGAGGTCTGGCTGGAGATACAAATTTAGATGCTTTGGAGGAGAAGCAGGAACACTTAATGCCGTGGGCGGGAGAGGATCACGGAGAAGAACAGCCCCAGGACTGAGCCGAGAGATGAGAGGGAAAAACGAGGGACGTGAAGAAGGACACAGGGTCCCGGGAGAAGAACCAGGGAGCATGCTTCCAGATGGCGTGGAAAGGGAGAATCTTCAAAAGGAAGAAATGACTGTCTGTGCCCAATGCCACACACTGGGTCAAGTGACACGAAGATGCAGACCTCATCGCTGGATTAGCAACACAGATGTTGAAGGTGACCAGAGCAAGAGCTGTCGGGGGACAGAAGCCTGGTTTGGGGGATTTCAAATAGAAGGAGAGTGACTGCAGAGGGCGAGGATAGTAGACGGAACCACGAGGAACTGATCAGACAAGCAGCCGGTGAGAGACAGGGAAAGAGTTTGAAAAATGGAGGAAGATGAAGTGACTCACTATGACGAACCGGAAGATGGTGGTCTCAGAATAAAGGAGCGAGGACGAGGCAGGAGGGGGGTCACAGCATCTCCCAGGGCTGCAGCCTGCCAGCTATAGCCTAAGACACCATCTTTGGATTTGGCGACTATAGCATGACTCGTGATTTTTAAGAGAGTGGTTCTATTAGTAGAGGGAGCCAATTGTGTGGGAAAGGAATATCTGGGAAGTGGGAAGGCAGAACTCAACAGCTTAGTCTGTTTCAGGAAATTCAAGAGAAATCTAAGAGAAAAGAAGCAGTGTCCTGGCATTGAGCTCACAAAAACCATTACTTTGTATATTATAAGATGCATATTTTTTCGTATTTTGATAGCTCTGAAAGCAGAACGCATCTTACAATCAAAGGCATTTTGCAGTGTTAATTGGCAGCATTTTTTAATTCTATGTGGTACATAACATAATGCTGTATTTTATCATCAATATTGCCTTAGATTTCATAAAAGATGGGTGTATAACAAGTGACTAAGCCAAGGAGAGGAAACTATGTAAGTGGATATCAAGGTGCGAGAGAAGGAAGTAGAAGGAGATTGTTTGCACAGCATTGCCTTTCAGTAAATATTTGCTGAGTGAGGGAGGTGAAAATATTGATAGATGCAGAGAGAGTGAATTTTTAGTTATAATCCTATGTCCGGGACTACAAGGACAGAGACAAGAAGGGGCACATAGACAAGAGAACAAGGGGTGCTTAGAGGACGGAGGGTACAGTGAAGTGGCCTGGCTTGAAGTGAGGAAGATGGAGCTGGAAGAGAGGGGAGTGTCATTGGAGAGAGGGAAGGTCCTGGTCAGGGCCGGGGCCAGGGTGTGTGCCTTGAGTGGAATCTAGAAGTCAGGCATAGGCTGAGGTCGTGGGCGTGGAGGAAACCCATAAACCTTGAATGCAGGGTGTTGGGAGGGCAACTGACATGCACACTGGTGGACAAGGGCGGGGAATACTGGAGGAAAACAAGGTCAAAGTCCTCGAAGCCACAGAGGAGGGACCCCAAATGTAGAGAATGGCAGGAATGAGGATGGGAGGAAGTTGAGGAGCTTTGAGAGGGGAAAGAAAAGAATACGGAAGAAGGTGGCTAAGGCAAGAAAGAAAACCTATGCTGTTAGGCACCTGCTCCACCCTCTGCTAGAACTGGACGACTGAGCGTGGTCTCGCCGCTGTTGCTCACGGAAACCTGTGGCAGGGTTCTCATCTCCAGATTGCAGATGAGAAAACAGAAGCTCACAGAAGCTGTGCAGACTAATATTGTGTAGTAACTCAGCATTCGAGGTTTCTCTCTCCTAGGAAGTCCCTGTGTCCTGAGAACTTTCCTACTGAGTCAACTCTGCTGTGACATAGTCCAGAGGGGTCAGGAACCCAGCTTACAGATGGGAGTCACTCTTCAGACTCCGTGGTACTTTCTCAAAGGGGCCTCGTATCCATCAACCATGTTCAGGCCACAACCTGCCTGGAGGTGCTGCCACAAAGCTAGAGACAGCCAGGAACAGGGCAGGTGGCCTCTCTTTTCTTTAATGGCTCCAACTGTGTTTTCTGCCAGCTGCGTGGATGGGACTGAAAGGGAATGAAGGCAGATGCCCCTGCCCCATCCTCCTCTGTCCAGACCCCTCCCTGCCAGACCCTCATTAACCAGGCCTCCCTCTGCAGGGCAGACACCTGCTATAAGCATCCCTAAGAGCCCCAGGCTGCCAGGGAAGGAAGAGGGGATCTTTGGGAATGACTACCTGGAAGCAGGAAGCTGATCATCACGGCTGGGCATGTGGATATTCAGGGCTCCTTGGTCTACCTGAGGCACTGAGTAGCATTCATACTGAACACAAGACCATGTTCGAGATGTCCCTGTGTACAAGAGTCTGCGTGTCGCGGTCATTTATGCCACAATGGAACAAGTCGTTGTTGGTACATTGTCTGAGAAGCAGCTGGTCTGCTCTGCTCATTATCCCCAAATGCTCTTCTCCCTCAGGCAGTTCATGTTTCGCATGAGTCAACATTTGGTTGAAATGTTTTCCTCCTTGCCTGGTATTTTTACTTCCGTCATGCCGGGTAACCTCACAACTACCTTCGACGAGTCCTAGTTTCAGGGGCCGTGAAGCCAAAATGATCCATTAAAGATCGTGTAGACCGCAGCTGGCAGAATCTGAACTTGGGCCTGGGTCCTTCTTGATCCAAAACCCTGGGCTTTAGACCAGACAGTATTGCCTCTCATTAATTATGGTCCAGTACTTCTTGGCCACCTTCCATTGCTCAATCATGAATGCTGATGGTCAAGCCATCAAAGGAATTAGGAAGAAATCAGTTATACTGCGTTCCTGGAAGCTGGAAATACAGGATGCAATCAACAAAGCATCCAAAGTTCAAATTAGTGAGGATGTTAAATAATAAGATGCTCTATGCTTAATAAAAATGATCATCTTGTGCAATTTCAGTGAAAACTGTTCCTATTTACAGTTCACCGAAACCAGCTTAACTCCACACTCACATCTAAGGATTATCCACGAGTCACAGTCAAATGTGAAAGTTTCAGTTAAGGACCCACAAATACAGGCTACGCCTGCTTATTTTCTTGCTTATAATGTTTCTTTGGTCTACCTGTTATGAAATAACCTAAGGAGTATTCATATGTAAATAAAACTGAGAATCTAAGTGCCAGCTCTGCCCTGATGCCCCTGGTACTGTCCTCTCGGTCTGCCGCACAGGGGACATGCCTGGAACCTTGATTTCTCTGTTCACTTGCTGCCGTCTTAGAGTCTTCGCCCCGCTTTGCTAGATATGCACGGAGGGCAGGAGAGCAATTCTGTCTTGGATTCATTCTCAAGGCGGTGGAGGATCTGGGCCCCGCGGGAGGTGGTCAGAGAGTGAGGGGGTACAAAAGCTGACGCCATCTCATCTGGACAGAAGAGACTGTAAGTCACTGCATCTCGCAGGAGTGAAGATGCGGATGTGCAGGTGGAGGCGAGGTCACTGGGAGAAAGTGAGAAATTTGATGCAGATGTGATGTACGTCTACACAGGACACATCTGTCACCATTTTACAGAAGGCGCAAGAAACACGAGTTGCCCAATTCACTCGAGGTCGGAAGAAAACCCAGGGTATGAATCTCTAGGCTTTTGTACCACACGCCGATGGGCCTTCTCAAATGACAATAAAGCTAGTTCCCAATAGAAAACGGGCCGTGACTGGGGGCAATTTCTCGTTTATCCTCCACCTGGGTGCCTCTCTGTGAGAGATGTTTTCTGGGCACAAATAGATTCCCTTTCAAGTTTCTTCTCCTCACCTCCAATGACTGCACCCTGTAGCCTTGAAGGCGAACGGCTGGAGGCTGGAGCATGACTGGAATCTATTTGGCCACTGGAAACAGATACTAAGCATCTAAGAAAAATGACCTTCTAGCTCCCTTCTGACTGCTGTTCCACTAACAGGAATATGTAAGACTAGTGTATGTGTCTATTTGTCTTCTTAAATAGCCTTTCAAATTTAAAAAGTATATATGAGGTATCTAAAAATTTTAAGGAAAAGGACACACTATTTCCTAACCCAGAAGTAAAGACTGCTCGGGGAGACGGTAATGTGATAAAGGAATTCACAGGCTGCAGTCTGCTTCCAGTTTCAGCGAGATCTCCAGAGGACGAAGTAAACAGATAAAAACAGCTGATGATCAAGTGGAGGCAGGAGACCCCCCAGCGACCGGCGGATGTGTTTTATCATATGACGGCGGCAAGCACATGCTCCAGAACAGAAACGAACATTATTCTGTGGTTCTTAGCCACCGTTGTTCTGTGATCAGATGATAACCCTTTCAAGTAAAATGTCTCTGTTTAAAAATTCTTTACTCTTCATTAGTTCTTTTAAAGTCAAATGTGCATACATACTCACAATTATATGTACATGTATCAAAGGCCCATTGAAAGCATGTGTTTTAATACCAGGCGTAAGCTGCTCAAGCTTCTGAAACTGTCATGACCTTCTGATAATTCACACATCATGAGCCCAACAGAAGGAGCCCTCTCTCCTGGCAGGGGTGCTGACGGAGAACCCAGCACGGAGGCTGAGACCCGCCCTCAGAATCCTCCATCCCTGGGCTGCCTTCTGCTGAGTCAAGAATCATTCAGAGCTTCCCCTTCTGGAGCATCCCACCCTCTAAAATACCTTCCCAACTGCTCCCTTCTCCTTCTTAAATCCCTTCAAGTTTTCGTTCCGTTAGTCAGTTGTTCTCAAATTTAATTCTCCCCAAACACACGTGGGAGATGAGACACACTCCCGGTGACCAGGGTGGCCCATACACGAGCTTTTCCCTCAGGACGTGCATGGGGGGGACCCCTGCCCCATCCCACTCACCTCCCAGCCACCATCAGAACCTTCCTGCAGTGGTGGAGAGAGCATCCAGGTGCAGGCCTGTTTTAAAATGTAAGTTTTATTATTATTCAGGGATGTGAGGCCACCAGATCAGGAGATGACTGCCACCAAAAAGAGAGCTTGCTCCTCACAGTTCCAAGAGGAGGGGCACGCCACACCCCTCAGGGCCCTATGGGGAAGCACCAGGGCCATTGAGAAGCAGGGGAGAGGGAGAAAGGTGGGCTAGAGCCTGTGTGGGGTTTCTGGGTGAGGCGGGATGAGCAGCTTTGGATTGTCTCGTTTAAATAATTTCAGTGGGCTTTGGGGCATAGGAGCTGCTCCTAGTGGCCTCATCCCGGGGCCTGGGGTCATCAGGGTAGAGGGACAGAGGCCCAGAGTGAGAAAGCCCCATAGGGGAGGCGATTGGGGTGTGGGCTCCGGACTGGTGGGTTTGCACATGAAAGGTGCGCTTGCTGGAAGGGGAGTCTTTTGCCACCTTTAGGAATCAGCCAACCCTGGGAGGGGCAGACTCTCCCAGGTCAACAAGGGCCCAAGAGTGAAAGCATCAGAAAATACAGAAAACAAAAATATGATTAATACAAAGCCTGCGTGCCTTTGAGCAACCCACCTCACCCAGCTAGGACCAGGGTGGAGGAGAATCGCTCTGCTTAATCCTGGGAATTCAGAAAGAAATAAAGATTCCTTAATATGCATTAAGCCAGACAGCCTGGAAGTTTATTCTGCGTATAAATCACTGAGTGATCTTGTTAAAATTGTTTCTGATTTAGTAGGAGGGATGGGGTCAATCAGTCTGTGTTTCTAACAAGCCCCCAGATAATGCCGGGGTGGCTGGTCATGGACCACGCAAATGTGAAGGCGGTCGACCATAACTATGCTTCTCGGATTTTTCGGGCATGTTCACTCGTGAAATAAAGACTAGGAATATTATTTAATGTGTGCAAATGAGCTGTAGACTGACTTGCTTGCACTAAGACAGTTACAACTAAGGCTTTTTTCTGTACAAGCCAATTTCTATCCTTGAATGAGATATGATCTCACCATAGGGTTCACCCGATGAGAATTGGCCCAGGAACCTTATTAATTCTCAAGAGACAAGCATGCCAGTTGTGCACCTGAGACTCATGGGGTTCTAGGCCCAGGGGCAAGAAAGAAGCAGGTCTGCAAGATGGATGGATCGGAAGGAAGTTTGAGACAGTGTGTCTGTTCCGACGTTAAAATCAGGAATCTAAATCAACCCTGGGATCGACTCAGCAAAAGTAGAAACTTGAGCATATTTTCAAATAATCCCAATAATCTCGACCAGACATGACCTGGGGTTGACCTAGGTAGTCATGAATAAGAATACAAAACTAAATTTAAGGATTAACTCCCAAGAAAAGGCTTGGGGAAAGAGAGGAGAGGAGAATGAGGTTGGGTGGGGGAGCTATTCACAAGGACGAATTAATTGTGAGTTTGAGATGAGAATGAGTTAGCATTTGGACAAAGACTCAATCTGTCGAAAAGACAACTATGATTCCCGTTAAGAAAATAAAACAACATAGACGAAGTGAGCCGTGGAACACGCAGCTCAGTTTAACTCTAAGCCACCGCAGTGACATCTCTCGCCCTCTCTCCTGATCAAAGACACTGCAATATTCATGTTCAAATAACAGGTTTTAGGGTTCTAGGAATGACAGGAACTTTGTGGGAAAATAGTGCAGCTCAGAATCCTTAGAAGAACATACACCTGACTTTCAAAATGCTTCAGAAAAAAAAAAATTACAACAAACTGGCTCAATGACCAAAGAGAGGCGTTTCTTCTATTTGTCATTAAAAGCAGAAACGCTGTTGGCACAAGAGGAACCAACACAGCTCCCTGTAAATCATCAGTAGCCTGCCTCTTCCCCAAACAGCTATTCAGAAGCACAGCATGAATCTGCTGTTCAATCTTGACACTTTTGCGGTGAGAACAACGTCCCGCCCACAGCCCACCCACTTCTGCTGAACCCTGTCCGTTGTGACCATCCCTCTGCTCAGCCCTTTCCTTCCCAGCTCTGTCGTATGGCCCCCTGGAAGACGAGTGGGACGTCTAGACTTAGCCAGACTCGGTGCAGACAAGTCCATGCAAGCAGAAGGAGAGACTCTCCCGGTAAATGTTCTGAAATGAACCACGAGCTCTGCAAGCTCACGGAATAGGCCATTTGCCTAGACTCTCAGTGTTTCACTGGTCTTGTTTTTGAAAGTCATAGTGCTGGGCACCCAGCTGGGTTGTCCCATCTTCATAGACTCTGGGAGGAGGCCACACCATCAAGGTGATGGTCCCGTTCCTCTGTTTGACCCTCAGTGTGTGACAGCGAGTGGAGTGTGCGTGCATTTGTGTGAAAACACTTCCTTTCTATAATATTTGTATCATGTTGCGTGCAGCACACTCTTCTTTCTGATCAAGATCAACTCCCTCCACTCCCAATGAAAGTCATTCCTGCTCATCATTCAAGACTAAGCCTAAATGTCATTTCCTTAACAAGTGCACTCAGGACACTCAAACCAAAGTTGGACTTTCGGTAAACTATCTCGTTGCACCTGGCCTGTTCCTTT